CACACACACACACACACATATATATATATATATATATATATATATACGGTTAGGTGACATCTGCTGTTGTGTAAACGCTGATAACCACTATAATATAATACATGTGGGTCGTACACAAGTGGAAGCGTAACAATAAATAGACATTGAGTGCTTGGACACCCATGCAGCACGTGTGCAATATACAGTGGAACAGGGCAAGTTGAGCTCGATACTATAATAATGAACCCGAGCAAGGCCGAGAAACGAGACTCCGTGAATCCGAGAGCCATATTTCAATATTTATTCTTGTGCTTTGTCTCTCTTCAAGACTCAAGTGTCGTATGCACACAACTTCACAAGATGGGGAGTTAGTGCAAGAACGTTGAGAATCGCGCATGGTCAAAGTGAACGAGGCCGAGTTCTATCACTATGGCTTGGCCCGCTTCACGCGCCAAAATTAAACCCTGAAATTACAAAAGTGAAGTTCGGTACTTTATAGTCAGCTGATGAATTTATAGGCCGAAAACTTCAAGTTCTATCACTACGGCTTGGCCCGCTTCACGCGCCAAAACTAAACCCTGAAATTATAACAGTGCAGTTCGGTATTTTGTAGACAGCTGATGAATTTCTCTCTTACATATGTGCCAGGTACAATGTACATCCGTATTACAAATACTTGTACTGTTTCGAAACTGTACAGCACTTGCGACATACGGACTCCTATTTAGATAATAGATTGCAGCAATGGTATACGGCAAGAAGAAGAATCTGAAGGGCAAGAAACGGGTGTTCACGGCTCCTGATAAAATCGATAAAGATTTGGATGAGAGCGAAAGTGGTAGCGATACTGAGAAGAAGGAAAAGAATAGTGACGAGTCCAGTTCGGAAGAGGAAAGCTCTGATGATGAGATACCACAACGTTCTGTGACGTTAGCGGATGTATGTTGTATGCTGTCTGTTGTTTTATTATCTGGGTATATGGGTATATTATATAGATATTCAGTATTAAGTTTACAATCGTTTTTGCTTCACGTGTGATTATCGTAGTATTCTTACAATATATATATATATATATATATATGTCTATCTATGTATCTATGTGTATGTGCGTGTGTGTACGTATGTATGTTTGTATATGTATATATATCTGTGAATCTATATATATATCTCTGTGTATGTTTATCTTTATATATATATATATATACATATACATATGTATGTATAT